CCCTGACGGTGGGATTCTTGCTTTGCCGGATCCTATCCAGGAACCCTGACGTTAGGTTCCGGATGTGGTCCAGCAGGTCCTCTGTATCCAGGTCTTTTCGCAGGGTGGTATTTTTGACGAAGTATGGGGCCTTTGTCACTATCCTCAGTATTTTATTCTGAAATACTGAGATCCATAGATCAGCACCGGGCGTATCAATTGCTTATAAACGCTGGCCTTAGTTCATAGGCAGAGTTTACCTGACAGCAGAGGATAGCAGGCATGGAGCAGGAATCTTGCCTTGGCGATGGTGTTTGCCATCGATTGCCTTGCGATGGTCGTGCCATACTAGACGCTTGTCACATATAAGTCCAAGATAGGTTATCTTGGACCTCCATGGTAGCCCCTGTCCTGCAAGCTCTAGTAGGCCTCTGGGTGGATTCTTCCTGGCTCTTATGAATATGATGGCTTGCGTTTTTGCTGGATTGAGCTCCATTTTCCAGTCCCTGCTCCATTTAACGACCTTGTTGAGCTGTCTCTGCAGTTTGGCTTGGATGGCAGCGTACTGCTCTAGGTAACCCAGACGGTTCTCAAAATCTCCAGCCCAGGTGCGAAATTTCCCGCTTGTCAGTGTCATCTTTGACAGTAAATGGGGTCCGAATGGGGTCCAAATGGGGCTCCCATTTACTGAAATACCATGAATTTCGATCCCCCCATTTCAAACATGAGTACCCCAGGCCATTTCCGTTATACAATATTATCAATGTTTCGAAAAGCAGTTCTGATTAGTCCCTTCATGTCATCTTTTGTAGTTGGAGTTATTTTATAAACTTCGTTTTTGACGTAACCTCATAAAAAGAAGAAGTCCCTATCCACCTCTCAGGAATTTCATTCTAAGAAATCTAAATTCTGAGGTGGAGCTCCATCACGTAAATACCACATTCTTTTCTTGACATATATATATGTCATAGAAATAATTTTTATTATTATTGGTATATGCATAATAATAGAAATTATGTCTACTAACCATTCAATTTTTATGAAAAGCTGCTTCATCAGTAAATAATACATAATTAAAAAAATATCTGTCTTCTCCAATTTTGCGCCTGGCCCATTCACCAAATCTAACTAGTTATATAGTCCTGGTTGTTAAGTTCCTGCATTAACTGGATGTGATATGGATGAATTTTGTATTTTACCAATATTTTTTGTATAATAGATCGGCCGATATATGTTTCATTAGCCATTATTCTCTGGAAAGTATGAGGATTTTCAGTTAATTTTCATAAAACTGCCAAGTCATTTCCTTGCGTTGAAGCCGTTTTTAGTCTGTCCATTTTCTCATATTCAACATTTCCTGTTCGTGTGAATTGTTCCATTAATTTTTCAAACGCCTTTTTTTGCGGTTGTGGTCTTTCAGGAAAATATTGATAATAAAGTCGCGTAGCGAGCGTACAGTTTTTATCACTAACACCTGGTATAACCACCATATCAACTAATTCTTCTATAGAAAAATTAATATTTGTTTAAGAGCTTTTTAATAATACGGATGACTTTTAAACTCATCGTCGTCATATACTAAATGTAACAACTTTTTGAAATTTTTAAATAAAATAAATTATAATTTGAAAACGGTTAATTTCACAGCTTAAAGTGTTAATGCAAATTTGTAACTTTGCAAATCGTCTATCTAATGACGTATATACTATACACGTACTTTCATTTGAAAAACAAAAGTTAAATTGCGTCAAAAACTTTTAGATTTAACTTTACATTGTAAACACCCTGCTCAATATTGTACATTGTATCGACATTTTGGTTCAATATAATTCTTAACAGATCCGGGGTGATTGAAAAGACGCATTTTTTGTGTCTTTAACTGCTTTTTTTGCTTCTACAATTAATGTTTAGATACCATGTTTTTAAGCAAAATTTTACTAAAATGGCGATAATCTGACAACGTCGCAAGTAAGAAAAAAACAATTTACGCTGCATTCCATGAGCTAATAAAAAATGGGTAGTTCTATTTAAAAAAATACACGTTGATCTTGCCTCTCTTTTCTGAGACCCTCTGTATCATATAAGATATGTTTAAAATGTGCGCCCTTTGTGCGTCAACAACTTTTTTATGAAACTATTTTTCGAAAGTTCAACACCTACGGAAATAATGGACTATCGCGCACTAAAAAACAACCCTGTATGTATTTGTGCATTTGTCTTTTTGTAATCGATTAATTTCACTGGTATTATAAAGGCGGCCTTTGGTCAACTGTCTAACCTAGATAGGTTTTTTTTTAATTGTTTCTAGTAATATTTACCAGCAATCAACAGGTTGAAGCAAGTTTCTGCAAAAGTCCATTTAACAAGTCTTTTATGAAAATTCCCAATTATTTAGCCAACACCTCCATTTTAATAAAGCTGGCTTATATAAAGAATTTTACTGAAAACACTTTGTATGGAATTTAATTAAACTGAACGAAAAACAGAATAAAATTAACGTTTTTGTTTATGGCAAATTTTTGATGTAGAATTGAATAAACATTCAATTTATAATAATTTCGCAATTATGGGTTTGAGAAATTTCCTTCTTTTCACACTGAGTGCTGTTGAATATTTTTTAAATCAAATGCCAGTTTACAGTTATTTAATGCCACCATTTCAATGGTAATTTGTTCGGTAATAATTTGCCATTGGTTTTATACGCCGATATGTAAGGCCTAATTAATTGAATTGATTAGTAGCAAATTAGATGTTTAGTCATTAATTTTCCAAATTGATTGATTTTGTCCCACAATACCACTGTTAAATGATTTTTAATTTGTTGGAAGACCATCCGCCCCATCCATATTAAAGTTATCCGAATAACAGTTTCAGATGTTTACTGGCAATTTAATTTGGTATTCATTTCATCCACATGATCAAATTCGCCGCCTCCTTACCTGCGCCTTGGTAAAAAAGTAAGTATATCAGCTACAACTTCATGCAGCTACTTACTGTTTTGCACTAGAAACTTTTCTATAGACACCACATAATTGTCAAGTCGAGTAGGATTGAAATAACAATCCTACTCGACAAGCTACTGTTCTTTCGAGTGGGGGCAGCCTAAGACTTTTATGTTTCTCACGTAACATTTATTCAGTAAAAGACATGCGGAACAAGTTAAACTCGCCGATTTAACTGAACAAACTCAGCTTCGTCTAGCTCCGCAGCTATGTAGCGACTGGCCACTAAGCGATCACTGATTTTTAGTTTTCGTATAACTCCTGCAGTTGTCGCTACTGGGCGCGGCTCTGAAAATACCCCTTTATCCTCGCTCTTTTGAATCCTTCGATCCATGCTTCGATCATGCGTTGCGTTGTAAGTGTGAAAATATTTGTAAGCAACTTTGGATCGTATGTGAGTTGATCATGTCCTTAAGCGGACGTGAGAGATAGAGCGGTGTATGAAGAAGTGATTTTTACAAGGTTTTCTGAAATTTAGTATTATAGTAATTTAAAGTTTATGGATTGCCACGCCCAACTCTGTACTCCTAAAAACAGATGAAACATTTTTTACAATTATGATTGCACTTGCACGATAATGTATATGAACTCAGATAATTTTTTTTCATTTTGTATTTTGTCAGAAGCGGAAATTCCAGGATCGCGTCTATTACGAAAGCGAAATCTCGTGCTCTCTAATGTCTTCGAGATCGTCTACCGACTCTAAAAGTCTGCGAAAATTTATCGACTCGATTTCCTGCCAATTTACTGAAAAGCTGAATTAATGGTCTCATCACTCTAAGATCACTTATTTTAGCCCCTACCGACCTATTCGTTGGAAAATCTTTAACACACGACGACTTCTCCTTCAATCGAAAACTATCTCATTAGTATTATAATCGTAAATTATGAGCCTACGACCTTTGAAAAAACTTGTATTTGTTGTAAATAGTGATTCGGATTTTGATAGACTACTAATACTATTTGGATAAGATACAGATAGTCTCAGGCTAGGTTTTAAAAACAAAAGCATTCGGATTCAAATCTAAAATTTATTCTGTGTTGCCAAAATATATTATTATACAGGGTGAGTTTTTTTAGATGACTAGTACAGGGATATTCGGAACTAGAGCAGTTACGAAGAAAGTAAAATGGACAAAGAATTGTGGTTTTGAATGCTCTACTAGAAACGTCAAAATATATTTGGGAAAAACTTATTTATGGTAAATTTTTAAATTACTCCTAGTTCCGTTGATGTTAATTTGACAGGAAAATATTAAATAGAAAACTTGTAGGAAATTGAATTCCAAACAAAATAGCATAAGACATTTCTCCAAGACAACTGTCATTTTTGACATATGATGCAAATTTGAGTTTTTTTAAGTGGCAACCATACTTGATTATTGCTTTACCGAATAGAGCATGTATCTGCGAACAATTTATACTTTTTCAATTTAGTTGATCGAAGTTAGCCATGGACAATAATATAAAACATACAACATTGTTTCCATAGTAACAAATAATAACAGTATGCTTCAGTATTTACTTTGACAACTACTTTGAAGTTGGCAATAACTTTATTTTAATTAAGGCGGCTGCTCATTTAAAGTGTTTATTATAAAACTCAATTCACACCGATAATAATTAAAATTTAAATGCAGAATCTTTCATTTTTATTGCAATACATTTTCAAAAAGTCCACCATTATTATCAATACAACCATTGCAACGCTTTAAAATTGAATAATAAAACTGGAGCGACCATCAATATTTTCAAATCCTCTAACAACAACTTCTTTAAGTGCATTTAAATTGGAATATTTGTTTTTGTAAACTGTGGTTTTTACGGCGTCTCACAAAAAGCAATCCAAAGGTGAAAGATCCGGTCATCGACGTGGCCACAAAATATGGCCGTTTCGTCCAATCCAAGCCCCAGGAAATGTTACGTCTAGGTGATTCCACACTTGGGAAAAATTATGCGGAGGAGCGCCATCATGTTGAAACCATTCCACATTACGCCATATTTCTGAATATAAGTCGTCTAACATAAAATCCATGTTATTCCGAAGGAATTAAAGATACCGACTCCCATTTAAGGTGCCTTAAAAAATAAATTGTCCAATAATTTTTGAGCCTACCATACCCTCCAAACGTTAAACCCAAATTTGATTTGTGGCCTCCTTTGCTCAACGTGGTGGGGATTTGTTTGATGTTTGATTCCAAAGATGTTCATTGTGTCGATTAAACATACCGCAATTTGTAAATCGAGTTTCATCGGGCCACAATATTTTATAAGGGAATTGGATGTCTTGTTGGTATTTGTTTCGACACCATGTACAAAAATTAACACACAACTCCTCATCCCCTGGAAGTAAAGTTTTTGGAACTGAATTTTCTCCTGATCCTCTGGAATTTGTGTTTTTTTTAACTCTCATCACGGTGCTTTGGGATGTCCCGGATTCTGCTGCGATCTCTCTGGTTGAAATCTGTAGATTCTGGCTTACAATGGCAAACTTCCATAAGTGCCTAAATTTTCGTATAATCGTTTGAATGTTTTCAAGGACGGTTGGTGATGCTAGACGCTCGTCTAGCATTTTTATCACATCTAATGTAGGTTTCAATCATGTCGCGCTTTTTTTTAATGGAATAATTAATTTTTACAATAAAACTAATTTAGATTTCTAGGTTGAATTTAAACTTGAACGTCAAAAATTGAAAGATGTTATTATTTGTTGCTATGGAAACAATGCTATTTATCTTATACTATTTTCCACGACTAAATTAGATCAACTTCGGAGAGAACTAACGATGTGATATATCACAGAAATCGTAATAAAATGCTCTATTCGGTAAAGCAATAACCAAGTATGATTGCCATTTAAAAAAACTCAAATATGTGTCATATGTCAAAAATGACAGTTATTTTGGAGAAATATCTTATGCCATTTTGTTTGGAATTCAATTTTCTACAAGTTTTTCTGTCAAATTAATAAAGCAGGCAGCAATAAATAGGAGCAATTAAAAAAATTATTATAAAAATCAAAATCGAAAAAAATTCACCCTTTATGTAGGTATGTTAATCGGGTAGTGTTCCATCGACTAATTTTACTTGACGCTATACATTAGCATAACATACGAATAGGCTGCGTTGAGTATCTGCAAATAACTCAGCTGCTTCAAAAAAATATTCCTTTGACCAACAGAATCAAACAACTACAATTTAGCAGATTTACTTACAGAAATAAATTTGTTTAACGACATATAGCCAAATAATCCCAACTTGTACTTGAGCCCCTTTTGGTTTCTCATGATAATCATAAATGTCATAAATCCAACTTTCTTCGAGTATTGATACCATTTGGATTGGTAAATAGCCACTGCCAATTCTTGATTCTGAAAAATTCGCAAACTAGCCGAAATACTTGACACAAGGCAGTACTCACCAAAACGGTAAGTTCATTTGCATAGTAGTAGTACAAGAACAGTCTGAAGTTGAGAATCACTAAGTATGCTATTACTGAGACCAGTTGCATTGACGTTACGTCTTCCTAGAACAAGATCGAGGTTTTTGATGATTTTCTGACTAATTTATGCACATTTTCAGAAATAGAAATAAAATCAATTTAAAATGAATGACCCTGATAACAAAACAAAACTCATCCTTGAAACAAAAGGTCTTGGACCGCAATCAAATTATTCTTTTTGTCTGACCGTTAAAACTTCCGCCAGCACACAGGCCATGTGAAGAGAACTTTGGATGAAATCCAAGAACAAGCACGTGCCCATCAGCTCATTAAAGTCACTTACATATCTGGAAGTGTTTAGGTCACGACAACACAATTTGCAAATAAATTAACTTACTGAACAATAATTTTGTGCTGCTGAATCGATTGGCGAAGAACAACAATGGCAGCGTCTTCTTTACTAATGTGTGTATAGTGTTGTAGAATTTTTTCCTGGTAGAATTCCATGTTTTTGAGCACGTGTTTTAAGCCTTTCAGTTGGGTTGTTGGATAAACTAGTACACTAATCAGGACGAATTCTCCGAACGTATCATAACTGGATCCAAAAATTGTATAAATAATATGGCACACGTAGGCTGCCTAGCCAATGGAAAACAAACATAAATTACGACTCAAACGTCTAAAGTAAGGCCTAATGTATGCATACAATAAAATGATCCACTTTATTGAATGGCAGCCATATAGACAAAGGCAAACTTTTCACCAAAACGGTATTATTGTATATTAGCGTTTCCGTGGCTGGATCCAGCAAAGGACGGATTGTGTAAGACAGTTCCGTGATGATCATCATTCCCAGATAAATTTTGATGTTGCGATTCAGTTCATTAGCACTGCGCTCTTCAATAAAATTCAGCTAAAAATCGAGCGATTATCAATACTCTGGTTTCTGAAAGGACAAAAAATCACCTGATTGTCATTTGCGTAACGATTCATCCACTGTTCGCGCTCCAAAATATGTTCCAAAAGCCTTTTGAACCCCGACTTGTACATAATACTTTGTCGAATTATCGTTATGGTGAACAGAGGGGTGATAATCAGGTTCTTGGATAGTTCGGTGACATCGATTTCTTTCGCACATACAATAACCAGCAACTGCATATAAGTGCTTAGCAGAATCAGCGTGAACACAACGAATGTGATTTTCGAGAAAATAGAGTAGCCCTGTTGAAGGTAGTAATGTTTCTTGAAGAGAAACTGGTGAGGAAAGAGCCCTAGCAGAGTTGCACATTTCATAACCAGGTTTAAAAACTTGCAATTTGGAAAAATCTAGAAAAGCGAAGTTGCATGTAAAACTGCCGTTTGGGATAGTGTAACATTAACTTTCAAGGAGTTAGTTGAGCTACATGATAAATAACTTTTCATTTAATAAAATACTCACTGCCATCGCTGGAAGCCTGCTTGCTGTTCACACTGTTTCAGTTAAAAATTGATTCGCGTTCACTTCCAATTTTTTCCCAGAATAATTAATAATGGCTCAAGCGCTCAAGGGAAACAGGTGGCGTTCTAAAAGTTTATTTACCAAAACCCACTAGTAAAAAAAATTAATTAACATTAATGACTAACTTGAAATAATACGCTAAAAGCAAATTACACATATACCAGAGATAAAAAACATCCTCAAAAGTGGACCTAATTAAGAACATTTTTAAGTCAGGGAATGTACTATAAATTATCATGTCATCTTGAAAAATTAGTATGGTTTAAATTGATTCATAACTTAACTTAGCCGATATTTTTGGTTGTGCATGGCCCTATGAAATAAGTGTAGCTGAAAGTTGTTACGTGCTGGAAACTCATAAATGAGAGTAAACAGTTACTATTTAATTTACACAAGCTAGCTGTGAGTGTTGTTTTTATTATTTCAGTTTTGCATAATCTGGCCAAATGCAAAACCCTTTGTTATTCTTACAAATTGTATACCCATGAGGTAATAATATATTCCAATTTCTAATACTCGGCTAAACGTACTTTTTGGATCAGGTTTTCACCCGGGTATTTCAATAACTAGCTCACCCTTTCTAGAGGTAGAAATTCTGTTGCTGATTAAGCACTTCAACCTATGATTAAGGTGAAATTATTTATTGCATCAATTTTCGATCTAATATTCCACTATTTATAATCAAACGCCCAGAAACAATTATTACGATACACAGTAAGATAAATAAATAAACTTACCGAATACTTTGTCCGAATCATTACAAAATTGATTATTATATAAAATAATAAAAATATCTGAATCATTATTTTTAATCCTTTCATGCAGCACTTGTCGGAATTCAACCAGATTATGTTCAGTACTACCAGTTCTACTAATCTCTGGTACTACAATATGGCTTCCCAATTTCTTATCCAGACACATTGCTTGAACAGATATTAGGTCTGACGTTGCATCTTGGACATTGGGACCTGGAAGTAGGGAATAATAATTACTGATTATTACGCCAAAAATTGTCCGACCTGAGCTTCCATTTATCCACAAAATACAGTACAGTGCGCGACACTTGATTTCTCTCACCTAATGATGATGATACAAATTTGACTAATTTGTATTAATGCTTAAAATTTTCCTTAGTAAGCTACATCAAACACTAGATTAAAGATTTTAAAAATATTTATTTAATAATTAGTTTTATGCTTTCGTATTCTACAATCGCTTTTTTTTGTTATGCAAATACTGTAATTTTTAATGAGGTACTTGATTACTCTCATATTTTGGAATTAACCTAACACATTTAAACCTTATACTTATTTTAGTATTTGGTATGCCCTATCTGATTCTCAATGACTGCTAACATTCGATGAGGCAATGAATTTAATACAATTTCTATTAGATTCACTGGAACTTCGTCCCAGGCGGCTCTAACAGCTGCGATTAATTCTTCTCTATAATTAAACTGTCTTTCTTCAGTATGAACCCGTTTGCCCAACCAACCTCATAAGTTTTCTATGATATTTAAGTCTGGGGAAATAGCAGGCCAGTCCACAACTGAAATATTATTAGCAGTCAACCAGGTTTGGATTATTTGGGCGGTAAGAATTGGCGCATTGTCTTGTTACAATATCCATTCATGATACGGAAATAAAGCTGTTATGTTAGCAATGTGCCGATGCAGCAGTTCTAAATGTTTTTGAGCAGTTTGCTGACCTTCTAGAAACTCGATGCCAACTCTGCCTTGACTTGAAATTGCTGCCCAAATCATTACTGAACCTGCCTGACTGTGACGGCCAGCCAAAATGTTTTCTTCCATCCTTACGTCATTCGAAACCGTCAGGACCTCCAGGTTAAACTTCTTTTCATTCGTAAAAAGGACATTTTTCCATTCCTCTGTCCAGTTACGGTGAATGCGTGAAAACTCTGAACGTTCTTGTCCATGACGTGCAGGAAGCAAAGGTTTCTTGCGTAGTTTTCTTCTTTTTAAGTTTGGACGTTTCTCTATTACCCTTTGGAAAGTGCGTACAGATACATTACTTCCACTTCGATCCCTTATTTGTCTAGCTGTTGACGAAGAATTGGATGCAAGTCGAAGAATTACACAACGTTTCCCTAGTGTTGTTGCATTTGAAGTGCGTTATTGTCGATTATATCCGTAGTTATTGCAGTGTTTTAAATACGCATTCATTACCCATGAGCTGCGCCCGATTTTTCTTGCAATTTATTGTTGTGAATAATTTTCCTCTAGATAAGCTTGACTTCGCCCTCTTTCTTCTCACGATAAAGTTTTACCGCGTCCCATATCAATACCAATCACTTTTAGAACATTCAAATATAATCAAATAACTATTAGAGAACTGTCAATCCGTTGTCAAGTGACATGGTTATGTTTCTTCTATTGCCTAGCAACCTGATTTTAAAAAGTGAATGAGAATAATCAAGTGTCGCACTGTCAATTATTGTAGTTGCTTCTAATAATTTCTCCATTGTTGGAACAATTTCTCCATTGGATTGAATTGTTGGACCAATACTATTGAAACATTGTATTCAATGATACCACATGTGGCATGCTTATCAAAATTTTGACTATAAACATATATGAGTTCAAATCTGTTAGTGAGAGGAGGTAATCAAGTGCCGCGGACTGTATCTAAATGACACGGTCCAGTAAAAAAAATGAGTTCACTAGGTTCGAAAAAATGCTTGGGAAATATATATGCCATAGAAATATATGTGCCATAGGTACTTATGAGGGACAAACCGAATTATAGAGCACATCTAATATTCTGGGATTCTTTCTCAAGAAAGTGTTTTTGTAACATACTAAATAGCTAGTGCGTGGGGTTTCTGCGGTGTACCAAGCTGGACTTATAAGTAAACACATGCATAATTGATTCTAAATTGTTGCTCCACTGTGAATTGCTGTAGCAATGCTCGAAACTAGAGAACAAATCTTTATTGGGTCTTGTGGGAAAATATTTCCGAGTAGGTAATAGTCTATACATGGAGTGGATGCGGTAAGTGTATTAGTGCCAGCTTGCCGCTTGGCCACCGTGCCTATTTGATATTCGAGGAGAGGCTTCTCCGTAGGTAAGTTAGAGACGTGATGCACGCAAAGTGCATTGTAAACTGGGGATCGTCACCAGGCGGGAAATTAGGGGATGATGGTCCTGAACTTATTCGAATCCAGCACAGGATATAAATTAGCCAGGACGTTTTCGAGGTTTGCCTTGCATTTATATGGATGTCTTATCTAATGGACTCGAAAAGTAACTAAACGAAACTGCACTATTATATATAGATGGTTTAGTTCCATACATCAACAAGTCAAAAGTCATTGTGTTGAGGAATTAGAAATTTTTTTGAAACTAGTCTGTTCACATTCATTATGCAAACTATCTAACCTAAACTACACACTTCTAATCGGAATCAATATTATCTGCTGTAACTGTTGTCAACGTACTGGGTAGGTCTTTATAAAAAGTCGAGTATTGACTGGGAATTGCATTACTGTTACACAAATCCACCAAATCTTTTTTTGCTTGCGAAATTTTAATGGGTAGGTTTAATGTTGCTATTATGACCTCGTCTAGCTTTGAGGGGAACATCAATTTCACTAAATTCACTATCTGAATATGACCTTTGGTAAAAAATTGCAAATTCTTTACTCTTCATTACTTTTATAGCACAAATTTCATTCCACTGCACATTTGCACCGTTGGTATCTTTATTAAAGTTTTTTTCCGATTGCTGCTTCGGAAGACTTTATTCATTTGAAATTAATTTCGAGGCATCTATAAGCCTTGCCAGTCTTCTTAGCAAGCCTTATTATTGAACGAGTTGCTCGGGAGTATAGATGGCCCACTTTTAAGGCATAGTTTTTTTCCCGTTCGATTAAGCCGTTCATCGCATCTCCTTCGTTCTGTGTATGACCAACAACTAAAAATTTTTATGTGATTTCGTCAATGGATTTAATAGAATTTATGCAATGCAATAACAAAGAGACATAAAATGTCTTGCATGCCATATTTTTTTACCGTTCAATTCAAAGTGGTAAGCATAGTGTTTAGACTTGTTACTATTGGGTGTATGTATTCGATATTTCGGATTGATTTGTTGCATACATTTCAATAAATTGTCTCTGGCGATTAATGGCTCTAAGAAGGAGGACTCTAAGCTGGAAAGCTTTGTAGCTTGCAATAGTCATTGCAAGGCAGTCCAACTTTAGGAGCAACAACTGCTTCTTTTCGGATATTAACATATTTTGATCCGTTATTTCTTCTCTTCTTAGCGACCGACCTTTCCCATTTATCAGGATTTTGTAAGTGTGTGTCTTGGTTATTAATATCTTTAGCGACAGCTTCTGCATTATTCAGTTCCGGTAAATAGTAAATTAGAGTAAATAGAAAAGTTGTCAGACAAACAGGTAGAATCTATGTCAATAGAATGCTTTCTGTAAGTATCTGAAAGAGGTGCATTCTGTTGAGATAAATTCTGCTCTTGTACCTGTACATTTCCCAGAGTAGCTTCAATGGTATTTGCCAAAATGGTATTTATCTCCTCAGCAAAATCATTTGCAATATTATCTCCAACTTGGACGATGTTCCGGGTATCCACATTTAAGAACTCTAGTTGACCCTGCAAATTATCTACCAAAGAAGTCTCAACAACTTGATGATGGTTGATAATAATGTGCTCTTCTGATTCTAAGTGTGAAACATAATCTGCAATAATAATATTATTGGTTTGGTTGGTGGGATCTGTTAATTCTATCAAGTCCTTATGGTTATTGACGAAATACTTTTTAACCATAATGTTTACCTCTATATTGTTTTCTGTATCTACCCTCTAAGTCCGTTGTATATTCTTGCTCTACATTTCTTTTCATTAAAATCGGTTATCTAATTCGAGGTTGGGAAAGTAAAACCTTGCTATTTTATAGCTGTCAAAGGTAAATGTCATCCGAAGCGTTTTTGTTTTTTTTTGTTGAAAGTTTGCCATTTTGGAATGTGGATCGTTTAACTGACGAAGAACGCGTAAAAATTATTAAATGTTACTATAAAATGGTGATTCTGCTGTATCAACGTCTAGGGCTTTACGAGCAGATTACGGTCGAAATAATCTACCCACAGAGTAAACAATTTCGAACACTGTGGAAAAATTTGAAGAGACTGGATCGGCTACTGATATTGTAGGGCCTGTGCATCATCGCAACATTCGTTCAGCTGAAAATGTCGCTGTTGTTGCTCAAATTGTGGAAGAAGACCGGAATTCGTCGATTCCCCGACGTGCTCAGCATTTGGGCTTGTCTTACGGCTCATTGTGGCGAATTTTGCAATTGGATTTGAATCTCCATCCGTACAAAGTCCAACTGACTCAAGAACTGAAGCCTCAAGACCATGGGCAACGCAGAACATACACAAATTGCGTGATTGAACAACAAGCCATTGACGATGATTTTTCGAACTGAATTTTCTTCAGCGATGAGGCTCATTTTTCGCTCGGTGGTTACGTGAATAAACAGAACAGCGGTATATGGGGCTCTCAAAATCCTCAGGTGATCGCAGAAAGGCTTTTGCATCCTGACAAAGTGACCGTACGGTGTGAATTATGGTCCGGTGGTGTTATAGGCCCGTATTTTTTTGAAAACGATCAAGGAAGATCCATAACAGTCAATTCTGAGCGCTATGGACGCATCTTAACCGATTATTTTTGGAGAGAAACTGAAGATTACGATCTGGAAGACATGTGGTTTCAGCAGGATGGGGCAACTAGTCACAACACTGGCAGTCAGAGCCCTATTGCAAGAGAAATTTCTAAGACGCGTAATTTCTAGATTGAGTGATGTCAATTGGCCGGTAAGATCTTGCTACTTAACACCGTCAGATTTCTTTTTGTGGGCTTATGCGAAAGATCGCGTTTACGCCACCAATCCTCAAACTCTTGAGCAATTTATAGCCAATATCAGTGAAGTTATGACCGATATATTACCGGTAATGTGACCTCAAAAGGATTGATGCCTGTATCCAGAGTTTCCTATTTTATTATTTATTTGAAAAAACATTAATTTAAACTAAGGGCTCCGTTGCCTACTTTGTAAAAAACTGCCTCTTTTCTTGCCAAACGCAACATATATTGGGCTCTTGTTTGGCCACAACGTTGCATGCAAATAAATTCATCAATTTTGCAATTAAATAACTATTTATAATAAGAGAAAAACACAAACACCAAACCCACGATTCTCTCAAAAAATAATGACAACATAAGATATTTTGCGATTTGTTCAGTACCATAAGGCAATAGCTCAAAATATTGCCCTATGAAACTGACAAAATTATCCAGTCAAAGAGCAACATGTCTAATTGTTGTTTTGTTAAACTAGAATAATTATAACTTCGGCTTAACGCAAAAAGAAAATATCTCATTTAAAGTTGACAAGTCCAAACATTTCGAGTTGTTGCTGTATGCAAAAGATTGCCTATTTAATTTTGGACATATTGCCGTATTAAACTAAAAATGGCCAAATTTGGACTTGTTGCTGTATGGAACTGGATCGATATAAAACATACGACTTGTTTTCATATGCGAAATAATTGCCGTTGATTTATTACAAACAAATGAGCTGCAGGGATTGTGTCTTACACAGGTATCTATACCAACCGACAAGATTCATTGTTCTTGTCGGTCGGTAGACCGTGGCCCATATTGCAAATTCCCGCCATATTACTGTCAATGGCACAGGAAGATAGATTACGGGGCTCGTCTTGTGTTAGAATTATAAAGGGCTCTCAAAGATGTTGATTGACGATTATTAGAGGTTGCGACGATTCCGAGCTTACTTTTTGTGACCCACGATCCTCCATTTATTCAGGCATAACATGTTAATTTTCCTCTCCGATTATTGTAAATAAAAAAATCTTCAGAGACAATTTGTTGCTTAATTACCAGTCCGGGCAAATTCAGGAGGATAAGGAGCTGGTGCTGCTGTCGCTTAAGTCGCTTGTGGGCGTAAACGTGCAATTTTACTAAAAATTGAGAAAAAATGTCAAATAAAATGTGCCGTTAAATAACATGCTGCAACTAAATTACATTTTTTTTATGTGCAAATATGGGTACTTTTGACATTTTGGAGATACATTTTTTGAAGATGTCGAGAAACTGACACGTAACAGAATCATATGCAAATTTCTAATTGCACACAGGATCCATTTCGAAGCGTGGTAGGCATAAGTAGAAAGGAAGAGCAGCCTCCACCCTTTTCCTGTTAAAGTAACCTGCATACATTACCATATTTTGCCACCGAATAATTTCGGCCCCAATCTTTGCGCTCTCCTTTCGCACACTCGTAAGCGGCCCTCTCGTACTTCTATCCTTCTAAAGAGATAATCCTTTAAATGTATTGACAAGCGAAAATAACATAGCTATTAAAAGCAGAAATTTCAATTAGGAGAAAAACCCAAATTTCAATTTTATAAATAAATTATACAAAAAGTACCTACCTACTGATGTCTTAATTAATTTAAAAATGACAGCTAAACTAATTCCATCAAGCATATAAAGTTTTGCAAGTCTTCGAAACTGAGTAAGCGGATTTAAGATTACGTTCACGGTTTGAAATCGCTCATGCAGATATTTTAAAATCTTCTAGGTGGAAAGAAAAGACGTTAGCGGAAAACCTGCTTCTGCGATTATCTTTTGGTTATTAAGTTAAAATATCAATTCGTACTAATTATTCAGTTGAAGTAAAAGTTCTCTTTTAAAACTATAATATATACTATATAATATATAACTATATCTTTATACAGGGTGTCCCGTAAGCTCATGCTCAAAAGAGTACTGCGATATTCTTTGGACCAAAACAAGACGATCTGACCTAACTTTTATTAACAAAAAATGTCTGGCTCCTCTGCTATTGATGGTCAAAGTGCTTCAAAAAATGTATCTTTTTATCCAAATCAAAATTCCCTATTAATTGGCTTGTCGTTTCTAGAGAGCGCTAGCTGCAATAGCCTGAAGCCGTTTAAAACATCAGAACTTTTTTGGGTTTTAATATATCGTTTTTTTGTTGGCATTATCTGGTTCTCCAATATTTCCGAAACTAAAAATGTGTATTTGATTCAAGTCGATATCTGTCACCGTTTTTGAGATATTTCACATTGAAACATCTATCATTTTTTTGAACTAGCTCAAATTAGATCCCTAATATTGTCGTAAATTGACTTATATTTCTTTAAAGAAGTTATAAACGTGCTCAAATTAATACTGTCCAATGTCTGTTAAGTTTTATTTAATAGAAAACGATCCAATTTAAGACAGATTTCCAATTAGTTGAAAAAATCACTATATGTTTCAATGTGAAATATTTCGTAAACGGTCAGAGATATCGACTTCGAGCAAGTACACATGTTATGTTTAAAAAATATCGTAAAATGTGATTTTACCAACCGTATGACGATATTTAAAACGCCAAAAAAGTTCTAATATCTTAAGTGGCTCCGGACTATTGCAGCTAGCAGCCTCTAGAAACTACAAGCCAATCAATGGGGAATTTAGATTTGCCGATCTAAAAAACCTCCAATCACAATTTTTTGTGATTTCAATAAAACTGGTTAAAAACCTATTCAGAAAAACCGAAATTTTTACTTTGACACTCTGTATCTCGGAATCTACTAACTTTCAGATAAGACAAATTCGCCTGAAACGCAATATTTTTGCCTAAACAATATGCCAGTGAATTTTTGGACATTAGTTGAGGACCACCCTGTATATAAGTACAGTAATCTGAGTAATATAACCATCTTAGTATCACTTCGCAGGAGCGACATTTTTGCAAGCCCCTTTTGACGGACCGTCACGTACTCAATTGAAAAATAATTTCACATAAGGCGTGCTCATTAGTTCACCATTCATCCTGTAAGGCACATTAGTTCAAAAGCCCTCCCTAACCGAACTGTCTTCAATTTACACATTTTTAATTACTTTAAGTAGACTGTTTAACCACAAACAAAAATAAACAAGCTCCATCAAGTATCAATTGAAAATATGAAATTGTGTTTGTCTCCAAATTGAAACAGTTTCAATTTAGTTGTGAATCCACAGGGAATCCAATTAAACCAGTAATTACATTTCCAACTTTAAAAGTGAAACTATTTGGAGTTCGAAATAAGAAGCGTCATTGCAGCTTAAAATATGCACTCAGAAGTTCCGGTTGTATTTGCCTATTGAGATTATTGCCAGCGGCCGGTACTTTGAAAACTTGGAATTTATTTCACTCTACATAAGCAGTTTGAAATAATTTTTAACATTTCCATTGCTGGTTCCTGTCTGGATTTTTTCTCCATTGCCACATGCCATATTTGGCCGGTCTCCCAAATTTGTTAAAAATCTCAAATGGTACCTTTATCATATTCTTTCTGTTCTTTAAATTAAGGAAGTTTTATTATGAATTCCGTAGGTTTTAGAGATGTGGCTTATGCATTTCGATTTAGTAAAATAATTGCAAATTTCTATCGCGCGCAAAAAGTTCTACACAGTCCCTTTGGATTAAGTTACAATAATAGTGTCAATTATTCAAGTACAATTTTAATTATTTCAACCATCTCATCTGCTTTGAATTCGCAAGTGGCCTGCCTTGTGAGTCAGTTAACGCTAAAACTTTTGAGGTCAATCTATAGTATTTGTTCCTGTAATAACAGTGGGGGTCGATACATGTAAGTCCAAGTTACCAGTCATAAGTCATTTCTATTAGATGTTCTAGCAGTGGCAATGTTTGTTCTTAGAAAATCCGTAATTTAAAAAATGTGTTATTACATTTACATTCAATATTCGAAAACGACGCGTATCTCATCGAAAATTTCTACTGTCGTGATTAATGTGTTGCGCCCTGCTTTAACGCCCACACTCAAAAAATTGAAAATTAGTAATACAAATTGTATATTTTCACCCTGGGAAATGAGGTTTCCTCGATGTCCCGTAATCCATTTACATAGATATTTTATGTCTCCCTGTTAACTCTTTGCACATTATCTTCGGATGAAACTTTCGAGCACCCAGATGTCATTTGCCGTGCAAACAGTGTAAATATTGAGAGCTCACCGATAAATGTGCAATTTTGCGCTATAGACTGCAAAAGTTTAAAGTGGATGGTATTTTCTAGACGATATACCTTTACCGTGAACGTGTCGACGAAAATTGAGTCGTTTCTTTCACTCTTCTGATTTCCGTTTACACTTTTTACCTTCGAAAGCGACAATTCTTATCTCTTATCCGAGACATTTGCCTGCGAATAATGTACGCGACGACAGAGTAAAAATGCTGGGCACTTATGTCTAATGGCGTATTTTTATTAAGCTTTATCTTATCTTTAAGGGGCTGGCTTTTTCGTCCACCGCAATCGATTTTCGATGCAGGAAGCTCATGTTTGAACGCTAATGGGGCGACACTTAAGAGAATAACTTTCAGTTTTTTAAATTAAAAATTTCGTATAGTAAATTGACTTAGACACAACGTCATCCGAAGCGTTTTTGTATTAGCTGAAGGTTTTCCATTTTGGAATATGGATTGTTTAACTGTCGAAGAACGCGTAAAAAATATTAAATGTTACTATAAAAATGGTGATTCTGCTGTATCGACGTTTAGGGCTTTACGAGCAGATTACGGTTGACATAATCGACCCACAGAGCAAACAATTTTGAACACAGTGGAAAAATTTGAAAAGACTGGGTCGGTTACTGATATTGTAAGGCCTGTGCATCATCGCAATATTCGTTCAACTGAAAATATCGCAGTTGTTGCTCAAAGTGTGGAGGAAGACTCGTATTCATCGATTCCCCGACGTGCTCAACATTTGGGCTTGTCTTATGGCTCAGTGTGGCGAATTTTACAGTTGGATATGAATCTCCATCCGTACAAAGTCCAACTAACTCAAGCACTTAAGCCTGAAGACCATGAGCAACGCCGAACATAGGCAAATTGGGTGATTGAACAACAAACCGTTGATGGTGATTTTTTGAACCGAATTTCATTCAGCGATGAGGCTCATTTTTCGCTCGGTGGTTACGTGAATAAACATAACAGCCGTACATGGGGCTAAATCTTCAGGTGATCGCAGAAAGGGCTTTACATCCTGAAAAAGTGACCGTATGGTGTACATTATGGTCCGGTGGTGTTATTGGCCCGTATTTGTTTGAAAACGATCAAGGAAGCGTGATGGACGCATGTTAATCGATTATTTTTGGAGAGAAATTGAAGATTATGATCTGAAAGACATGGGGTTCCAGCAGGATGGGGCAACGAGTCACACAACACTGGCAGTTGCAAGGCTGGAATGGCTGGCTCTATTGCAAGATAAATTTCCAGGACACGTAATTTCGAGATTGAGTGATGTGAATTGGCCCGCAAGATCCTGCGACTTAACACCGTCAGATTTATTTTTGTAGGACTATGCGAAATACCCTGTTCACGCCAACAATCGTAAAACTCTGGAGCAACTGAAAGCCTATATCCGTGAACTTATGACCGAGATATTATCGGTAATGTGCCGAAAAGTCATTCAAAATTACCTCAAAAGGATTGAGTCCTGTAGGAGGTCCCGTGGAGGACATTTAAATGATATTGTGTTTTCCGTATAATGGCAAAGTTTAATCTTTATATTGAATTAAAATTTTCGTCTCCATCTGAATATTTTGTGTGTTTTTGTTACTTTACTTTCCCAAGCATAAAATGGATAACCCTGTAGTATGTATTTTTAATGTATGTCCGTTTACAAAATGATCTATTGAACCTGTGTAAATTTCAAACCGTACAGAAAGTGTTACACATTTCTATAAAACGCACATATTTTAAAGCCAAGCCTGAGGTAATCGGATCAGGAAAGGTATGGACCCTGATAACTTATTCGGGGCTATAAATTCGCGCGCTGAATAAAACATGGACAGTAAAAATTAACATCAAACATGCCTACGCATTGTATTGTTTTAGATTAATCGACGATTTTAAACACTAACAGGGTCAAAAATGTGGTACCTTAAAAGTTATTTTAAATTTTTCAGAGCTAAGCGGTCGACCTGTAAAACGGAGATTTGAATGCACTCCGCATTATCGTCAGTTCAAGTTAAGGTTAAATTGAATTTAAATTCGCTTACCGTTACCGTAGCATGTTGCAAAAAGTGTATTGCTTTCGACAACAACGGCGTATTTATACGATTCCATTCCAGAAGTAAGCACGACTCCAATGTAAATGGTTCCGCTCATTTTTTAAAACTGCATTCCTTCTAAAATAAACACTAAAGCTTTGAAAACTATTGCAGATCAACGTAATTTGGTTCTGTGAGAAGTCAGCTTTGGAAGTCACCGTTATTAAAGTATCGTATCAAGCTGGTATCAAAAACATCCCCCAAAAATAAAATCGGCAAATGATGGCAAAAGTTGAGCGCGATAAATTCTACCCTGTCACGTCATACATCATTTTTATCCTTTTTGTCACATTCAGAGCAAGAAATTCAAAGTTGTCCTTTCTTTTCACGACCAGCAGTGAATAGTCTAAGTATTATTTCAATGGCGCTATTATTTTAAAAGGGTTATAAATGTCAGGCTTGAGAAATCACTTTTGATTATAAATTCGGAGTGGCCACTTTAGAATACAGTTGAGGACGAATAATGGGGAGAAGCCTTCTTTTTGTCCGAATTCCACTAGCTGAACGATAATAATCAGCGCTTTGTGAGTAGGAGACATTTAAATGCTGAACAGTTTTCTAAATTTGTAACCCAGCATCAAAGAGACCTCAGCTATTCTTATGCATGCATGATGAACTGTTGTTAAAAACATAATCGATTACTTTCCATTTATTGCGATGAGTCTGCTACTTTCATCTGAAAAAGCACTATTGAGTAACTGTCTGCGCCTCCCTAGATAAAGTCCCTGGTGCCGGCCATTATCTCGCATCTTGCACGGTTGGCTGACAACCTACCCAGTCGCATTTTGTTTTTAGTTTATATTTCACAGGAAACTCGTATCATCGTTCACAACGTTTCTGACTTTATTCGGCATGTTTTTATTATAATTGGCTTAAATGTTCCTTTATTTTCTGGGTTTCAGTCAAAATGGAAAATACAAATTTTCATATCGTTTATTTCATATTACGTTTCGGCGAGACAATCGCAGAATGACAGCGCCATCATCAGTCTTAAAATTTAACATGTTGTTATGATGACCCCTTATAAGGGTGTTTGGTTATTTTGTCTATCATGTGGCGCCCTGAGTATCCAACTTTGGATGCCGTCTTCAGTCTCCTTGACATATTTCGCCAACCCTGATTTTTCCGTTAAACCTAAGAAATAAATAGCCAAACTGTTAAAAATACTGTTGAGACTGTAGGGCTAATTATTTAGCCCAAAATGAAAGTAATATCTGGGAATCACTGATTCTAGTTCAACACACCTGACTGTTTGAACAAGGTTCTAACACAAACTAACCCAAAGGTAAATCTTTACAAATAGGTTGTACTAGTTTTAATAAGTTATTTAAAGCAGTATGGGCTATATTGTGCTTCATTGCCGACCCTGTCAACTTTTCTTTAAATTAGTTATTACTGTAAATTTACAAATTTTATAAAAGCTAAACAGCTAAACATAGTGTAGCACTAACCGCAATAGACGACTTAATAGTCGAAATTAAACGTTTTCACTGCAATCGGATACACTCCAGCAAATTCGTCAAAACGTCTTGCAGTACATATAAAAGTCGTCTTAAAGACGTCTTATAGCAGACATACAACAACACAAAGATTTACAAGACGTCTTCTAGCAGACATTTTTAAGATGTCTTAAAGACGTCCAGTGTCAGGCATTTACAAGACGTCTTCTAGTAGACATCTTTTAGATGACTTAAAGACATCTTTAAGAGACATACGACGTTCAGATATAATAACGGCATAAAGAAGACGTCTCTAAGACTTCTTCTTTATGCTGTTATTATGCTTCTTGTGCTGTTTGGGCACAAACCCAAAATTGGGAAGCATTAGGTTTTTTTTGGTCTGGGCTGCCTTGAAACCTCACATTTTTCTTTCACCACAAAAGAATGTGAGGTTTTAAGGCAGCCAAGACCTAAAAGAATCTAATGTTTTCCAATTATGGGTTTGTGTTGAATTTTAAATCTGTTGATGGCGCAGTTGTCTCGCCGAAACGTTATATGAAATAAACGATATGAAACTTTTTAATTTTATAATAATAACATTTTGACTGAAACCCAGGAAAGAAAAAATATAATAACAATTACGCGCAGTCAGGAAAATCAATCAAAATAAAGTTTACAATAATTATAATTATGCATGCTTAATAAGGATCGAAAATAAATTTGACGTTTTTCAGATACACGACGAATCAAAACTATCTATGCACATAACGTCATTAACGAAATCAGGTCATCCTAATCTGTAGGTGTTATTTCCAATGCAAAACGTTCCATTTTTCGCCACAGGAGGTTATCGTTGCTTGATTAAACCTTTTACCGGAAACATATAAAAGCCTCACGGTTACAGATATTTTAATCAATCACCATGTGGAAAATCGTTGTCATTTTACTGCCTTGTTTGGCATGGGCTAGCTTTGTTACTGTTTGTACTGTCCAGTGCATCAAGCCAACTGAAGACAGGTCTGTTTTGTTGTAGGACGATCAATGGATTGAATTGAACGACCCAAAGATTTTTGTGGTAGCATCTGGAATGGCACCGTCAGAGTCGAGAATAATTGGTGGCCTAGAAGTGGACCGCCACTCCGTGCCATACCAGGCCGCCCTTTTTATTGAGTTTTCCAGAGGCCGGTCTTTTTGTGGCGGCTCGTTAATATCACACAGCCACGTTCTGACTGCCGCTCATTGCATGCATAAGTAAGTAGGAACAGCGTTTTCTGAAAATTGTAAAATTTTGTTTATTTAAATTCAAGAGTGGAATATAGTGTTTAATAGAAATTTAATTCGGCAAATTTTTAGAGCCAAATTGGTAGAAGTTGTTTTGGGAGCGCACGATATCCGCAAAAACGAAACGTCCCAGTTCCACGTGACCTGCGAAGATATTACGGTACATCCGGAGTGGAATTACCAGAAGTTGGAGAACGACATCGCCTTAATTAAACTTCCTCAGCCAGTTACGCTTAATAAATATATCAGCCCCGTGAGCCTCGCTACGAGCGGTAAGTACCTACAGTCAGCAATCTTAGTTTGACTCACATTAAAATACTTGGATAATTAGTTGCAAAACGCAAGCAAGCTTCTCGAGCCGTTTTCAATCAGAAAAGTTTTGAAATTCAGCAGGCATAATTAGAAAATAACTTGCTGTTTTTTTTTTCGATTTGCTGTTTATTGCTTTTTGTCCAACTTCACTAAGACAAACAGTTCGGTTCAAGTTAATTTTTAAATCATTTGAACAATGAAAACTTTATTGTACTTCAGCCAATTGCTCAAATCCGACTTGTTTTATGTAGAAAGATGCACACGTAAGGAAAAATCATGTTGAAATGGTGCATTTTAGGAAGTTTTGTTGACTCCAATGCGTTATTAACTGGCTGGGGCAAAACATCAGACTTGTCTACAGTGTCTAATGTTCTTAATCAAGTGAACTTGCCCATTCTAGAGAATGAACGATGCAAATCGTTTTACGAAGACATCATTAATAATTCTCATATTTGCACTTCGGGAGTTGAATTAAAAGGTAAAAGGTGTCGTATGGCTTTCTCCCAGTATTCGCAGCGATGCGGTGATCAAAAAACTAATGAATATGGAAATTTTTAGGGGGGTGTAATGGAGATTCTGGAGGTCCACTGGTTGTTGACGGTCATCAAGTGGGAATTGTGTCGTTTGGATCAAATCGTTGTACCAAAGGCTACCCAACAGTATTCACGAGAGTTACCGAGTTCGCGGATTGGATTTCGAAAAACTGCAATGTCACGCGTGTGTAACTTCAATGGACTTATCATCAATAGGTTATAATTTATTTAGGTGTATAGGTTGCCTTTCTTTAAATTTCAAAAGTCTAAAGTGAATTTTGCGTCTGGTAGTGAAACAACTACTTTTAAACAAATACTTTTATTTTATAAACCAAAAAATTTTACAACGAAAATGCTTGATGCTCTCGAAGTTACAACCGACTTAAGGCTGATTCCTTGGTTTCGAATGCGCTACTGTCCCAAACACCATAAATTTGCGGAAGTGGGAAGCTTCTTAGGCATAAAGCAGACAAAATACTCGTATGTGAAATTATTCATTTGTTTGCCGAAAATTCTCTATTCAGTCAGAAACATTGGGAACATGCCCACTAATCCCATTTATTTCGGCTACAGTAACTGTATAAAACACAGTGGCGACAATAAGACCAAAGCTTATCCCATTCGCCATTATGCGGCGAAACTATTTGGACTCAAGTCCAAGATTTAATTTAAATTGATTGTTATGATATAAAATATTTTGGAACTAAATTAGAAACCAGTTTTAAAGATGAGTTTTTTTATATAAAATGTCTCTCGTTGAGAGTTAAGACAGAGAAATCGAGGTGAAATTCAGCATTTTATAAGAATTGTTGTGCGCAATGGAAATGCAGTTTAGTTTTAGGTTTTCAGTATTGTTTGTTCTTTGTAATAAATCAAACGCTTTTTAAAAGCAAGTCTATAGCAGACCCACTTGTAACTATTACTGAGTAATGCTCCAGGTATTAACTCAGAAATATTAACACTTTTTCGATATAATACAAAAAAAATAAAGTATTATTTCTATAACACTTAATTTGTGTAAACTTGCTGACGTTTTGAAACAGGGTTCTTTAGATCCTAATTTCGAAATACACTTATTACGTATGTGTACAAATTTTTGCATGGTTTACTCATCTGGTTACACAATTATTGATCATTTAAGTTCTATTGAATTTCAATACAATTAAACATGTTTAAGTCAGTGGTTTTTTCAAATTGTCAAAAATTTCAAAATTATAGTGTTTGGAAGTTGAAGGCAGGTGTTTTCAACACCTTCTGAAACATATTTGGTTACTATTAATCGAGTCATAATAAATAAATTTATTTTTTAAAATTTATGTTGCACGTCATAATTCTGGAACTAAGTGACTAAGTGAAAAATTTCTGAACATACATAGTTTATAAATAATAATAAATACATAATCAAAAATATATCATTCCATTTAAAATTTTAATGTTGCCGTTACCGTTATACTAAAATACGTCCCCGTTCCTATTTCTAATTTGCCCAAAATTTTATAAATATATTTGAAACCGTTTCTGAGATATAGCCTTGTAACACTTTAAAAAACTCACCCTGTATAAAACATAAACATTCTTGCAAATGTATTAAAACCTCCAACTACTATATACCTATCCTTAAGTGAACTGTGGTATGGGCTTGTATGTGTTGTATCATGTATGGCCACTATTATGTATGTATTTTACCATGTATCATGTATGGCCACTTACGCCGATTATATAATTAAAATAAACATGATTAGCATATAAAAAAAGCCACAGCAGAAACAAGAATTCAGCTTGAAGATAGTCAGTCTCCGGTGAGGTTTTGTCACAATTCAAAATCCATATTTAAGAATTGTATTAATTTAAAATAAAATTAATTAATAAAATTGGCGTAGTCCTTCGAATTTACTTTCGGAGTAAATATCACGTGTATCGCACAAGTGATTCGAACAGTAGAAACAAGTTCACCCTCCTGTCTCAACAGCTAAGGAAGAACCAAGAACCACAACCCAACCAAGACACCTTTAGGCTCCTGGAACAAGACATCGTATTCTGGTCCGCCACAACGCTCGCCCCAGTAGTCATTACAGGCAGCAGAAAGCCATCCAGTGTATCTGCTCAGTGAACTGTTGTCCTGATGGCGGCAAGAGAATAGAAATAACTGAAAGTGCATTCACTTGTTATTTTCTGAAAATTGGACAGCCTGTTAATTAAGAAATAAAGAAACAAAAAAGCATTGAAGCTTTAATTTTGCATAAATTGTATGCTAAAATTGATTGAATTTATTTTATTTTGCGACAATTAAACATAAATACTTGTCTAATATTTTAATTTTAAATTTTTTTATTAACGAAAAAATTTAGTAAAGTAACATTAGGGGTTATAACATATCCAAAACACCAATTATCTAGTCAAAATTGTAGTAGTAATGACCTAGATACTAAGCAATTAGAAATCATAAATTCTGAAACTATTTTAAATCAAATAATCGAGATGCTGACGCTTTGAGGTTAACAATTACTTTATTAAAACCCTTCGATGGAACTCCATCAAGATCCCTTCTGAATCAAATCTTCCTCCCTTTCATTCTTGATTTTAGGCAAATCGCGTGTTCAATTATCGTTCACTTGTGTGAGGCTGTCGCTCCATCGTTTTCTGGGGCGCCCAACGTCTCTTCGTCCCAATGGGGACTTTCGTGATTCTCACAAGTCCGCGGTGGTCCATCAGGCTGTTCTGACATCCTCGCTTCTCTCTCTATTCAGCAGTGTCTTTACGGTGATTCTACGGAGTATTTTCATCTCAGGTGGCTGTAAGAATCTTTTGGTTTTCGTTGTTTCTGGCCTGGTTTCTGCGGTATGTGTCATCACCGGCCTTACGACGATTTTGTAGATCCTCGATTTAGTGTACGTTTTCATACTCTTATTGTGGTGGTGTGGACAACAATAGATGTTCGGGTACCAGACACAGAGGAACAAGTATTGGACATAATTGCAGAAGAGCCTTTCAGGGGCCCACAGAACATGGCACAACAACTGACATTTTCCCAGGCGTCAAATAAATACCGACTACATTCTTACCACGTATGTAAGATTCACATTAAACCAATGGGTTACTGAATATAACCGGTATAAGTTGAGCAGGAGTTAATTAACGGAATACGAGAAGCTGCTCGAAAGGAGTGCATAATAAGGTGATTACACAGGCACTTGTTTGGAGTTACAGACTCAAATGTATCTTTTTGTAATTTGTAAAACAAATTAATAATTCGAGGATATGAGTTTCGAAATAGGTTCCGTTTATCCTTGTCTACCTTATTGTCACTCTTTATTTATCCATGGTTACCAGAGTTTTAAATAATTACGAAGCAATAAGTATTTATGTAATGTTAATTAGGCAGATTACTTTGAAAAACATTGTTGCCGTTTATCTAATATAGTGTTTCTGCAAATTTATCAGTTTTTAATAACAATTTATTTTTTGTACTAATTTTTCTGCACTCCGAAAACACCGCCAGACAATCAGCCCTGTGCTGTATCACTCACGTTAACTTTAACGTGCATGTTATTCGTCAAACACGTTATGTGGCTCGAACTGGTGTGTTGTATCAGTAAAACCTTTATATTATAACAGGCGCACGCTATCGTCGAACGTTATATGTAAAAATAGCGCTTCAGAATAACATCATCAAATCACATGCCGCTTTCGAGCTTAACGTGCGTCCCTCGAAGTTAACCTCGAAGGAATAAATAAAAAA